ACTCAGAGACAGAGACATTACAATAACACAGGACACAGCACAGGACGGACACCTATACATTTCCTTTTGATTATGCTCCCCTAGCGAGAAGACCGAGACAGAAAAAGACAGAGACAGAGAGTGATAGAGAAAGGGAGAGTATGAGAGACAGGCGCAGAGACTTGAAACAGAGACAGGAGGAGAGTTGCAAATGTGTGAGAGAGAGAGAAAGAGAGCATAGACCCAGAAAAATACAGTGTAGAAGCCAAAAAAAAAAACAGATAGCGACGCATATATAAAGAGATATAAATATACAGAAAGACTCAGAGACAGAGACATTACAATAACACAGGACACAGCACAGGACGGACACCTACACATTTCTTTTCGATTATGCTCCCCTATCAGTTTCACAAACTCTCCAATGTAAACTCATAATACCCTATATTTCACACATATTCCAAATCTGTCCAGGGTATAGACACATTGTTTTTGCTTTTCGATATCGTTTTTGTTTTTTTCTTTTTCGCCACTATGAAAATAGCCAATGGCCGGTGGAGCTCGAGCCCCGGACAGCTAACAAGCTGTGGCATTGACCATGCGGACCCCCCGTCCCCAACGGCACTTGAAGCACAGGTGAGTTTGGTTAGCAGGTGAGCAGCAGCTGCTGCTGCTGCTGCTGCTGTCGTTGCAGTGCATTTTGGAACTGTTGTTGTTTATTTTTGAAAGGTTATTTGAAATTGGATAAATGATTGCCAAAACAGCAGGAAAACGAAATTAATTGCTGCTATGCAGAGTTACAAGAGTTCACAGTGAATTAGCATTAAAGCGTCACGACACGAACAATTGTGAATAGATTGAATGGAAACTAGGCCTAGCTGGTGAAATGTTTACGAAATAAGTCTTGTATGTGTGGGTGTGTGTGATGCTAGGATACAATAAGATGTGTAAATTGATGGGATCAGAAATTGCCAGAACCAGAAGGGAGAGAGTTTATAAAAGGAAAACCTCTCGAAATATCGATCCAGTATACATCGATTCAATATCCGTAGCCTGGCGAAACTTTAATTATAAATATGGAATAAACACTTTGAAGAGATTTAATAATATATAGATGATTACTCATATAGAATAAAATGTGAAAAATAAATATTTTTTTAAGAGAAAATGTATTTAATTAAGATTAGGAAAATTATGTAATGAAAGCAAAAATATATGAATATGAATGAATAAAAAACTTCAAGCAAACAACTAAACCTAAACCAAGTCGCAGCTGCTTAGCTACCTCAGACATCGGCATACATATATCAGCTATATGTTTTCTAACACTCTTTCGATTTTAGTGCCATAAATCTCAGATGCTTTGATCTATTAGGAAACGCCCCTCGACTGTCAACCCTTGTGGCAGGGCACCACACGCAACATACAACTACTCAACCACTTGAAAAGTGAATGCAATGTGAGACAATAAATCTTCAAAAAAAAAGACAACGAAAAAATTTGTCACTTTCACCACCAGATAAAAAAAAAAACAATTGATAAATGCCTAAATTCTATACAAAAAAAACCCAAAAAAAATATTAACTATGGGCGCTGAGTTTTACGCTAAATTGCTTAAGGACAAAGGATGCAGGATATAAATAAAGGAGTAAGGGCAACCGCTATGCTTTTCGCTTAATCCTTTTTGTAAAAACAACCCAATGCAATTGCCACTCAAAAGGTGAAAATTGTCGAAAAACATGAATCAAAAGCAAAAATGAAACATCCTTTAACTGGCCAGGACCAACCGCTGCTGCTGCTGTTGGATGCCTGCTGCGCGCACGCGTTGACTTCTTGGCAGCTGCGCAGTCGCCGTAGCCACTGACCAGGCGCCTGCCTACAGCCGCTGCGGTCGCCGGACAAATTGAAATAGCAAAATCATTTCGAGCGACACGGAAAATTGCATTTAATTACGCAAGCAAACAAATGCGTTTAAAAATTTTTCAAAAATCAACCAAGTTCAGTTTGTCGAAAAAATTCACGCCTCGCTACACAAAAGCGCTGTAACTTATATAGATTGTTAGTCGTAGCCTGGCCAGTGGTCAGTTGCAAGGTTTTTAGGGGCGAGTTGCGTAATTGCAGCGCTCTGAAACAATTGCGCACAATCAAACACAACAGGATATCTCTGCTTGCTGACCCTTCAGCCATCAGCCTCCCCCCCTTCGACAGGCTCTACCTCTGCCTGGGTTTAGCTAGTCATGTAATTTTATTAGTCCTCTGCTCATCGTTTGTTTGCTTAGGATGCTGCTAGCGTTGTTATAGTTAAGGGCAATAGTTACATGTACATGGCCAGTTACATGACAGCCCATAATAATAAATATTGTCAACTAAATTATGAAACAACCCCCAACCCTTAACTCTGGCATGACAGGCAGTTGATAGAGCTCTGCAATCGGGACTTTAGCTCAAAGGGAGGGAAAATTTATTGCTTGCTATTCAAATAATTCTGGATCGATTTTAGCTAGTATTGACACATAAAGTTATAGTTATAGTCAAGCGTTACTTTTTTCAAATTAGCAAGTACCCGCAACAACTTTTTATTGAAGACGTTAACCAAATTCTAAAACTATAAACTTTTTGGAACCTTAAATGTTTTCTTCGTTTTATTTTATTTATAAATTTCGAACCAGCGGCCGTTAAAAATTTTTCATTTGAATCTTAACGAGCACCAATGGACTTAATTTTATAAACACTAATAAATCATTTACTCAATGAGTTTAAGCAACAATAGAACACAACTAATTTTTGAATTAATAATAAAAATATTAAATTATATACACGCATTTTTAGAATAGGTATACCAATTAATACATATCAATATCTTCAATATTAAGGTGTTTCAAATTATATTCAAAGAGTTTCACCAGCAGCGCAGTTGAAAGGCTGCCACACTGTAGAAAAAAGTAGCACAGTGCACAGAGGCTGCCACTAGATGAAGTTGGGGTGGTGTGTCTAAAATGGCTAGCTATCGATATATCGATAGCTATAAGCAAATTATTTTAAAAAGAATAAAAACATAAATACTGTAAGTAATAGAAGCAATAACAGTGATTAAATGATACATATTACCTATGCTAAAATGTAAGCATACAGCGATCAATATAGATTTGCTTTATCTAACATTAGAATATTCGAGTGTTGGTCACAAGTAACGAGTGTGTTGACAAACTGTCATCTCCAAGTCGTAACTAAATTTCAGTAACAAATTTGGAGAGGTTTTAAACAAACCAAAAAAATGGCCTGCAAACAGTTGATGAATCGTGCTAGCTCCCTAGGACGCTGCAACCAGAACAAGCTGATGCCACTGGCCAGCATGCGCTGGTCCAGCACACGCAGCGACATCGAGAAAGTCACACACACTGGCCAGGCAAGAGCCGCAGCGCTCAGCTGTTTCTATTTGCGATTACGCAAACAAAATTTGTTATTAATTTCCGTTTTGATTTAATAATATTAGGTATTCGACAAGGATGACTATCGCAATGTGCGCTTCACAAATGCCAAGCGCTATGTGAATGAGAACTGGGGCATCAAGCTAATCGATGAGATTCCACCCAAAGAGTGTGAAGAGCGCGTTGTTTACTGCGACGGAGGCAACGGTCCGCTCGGCCATCCAAAAGTGTACATTAATCTGGTAAGTGGAAGGCATTGATATAAAATTAGTGTCCTATATTTATATGTGTCCATTTCTTCAAGGATAAACCCGGCAATCACAGCTGCGGCTATTGCGGCCTGCGTTTCGTGAAGAAGGAGCATCATTAAAATCATTCTTTGGTTCTTAAAGAAAGCTCTTGTTACTAGTTGAATATATATAAATATACAAAAAACGAAACAACTTCTAAATACCAAGCTAACGGAACTGTGTTTACTGGAATGTTGGCGGAAATATAGGAAATAATGTAAATCAAATCTCTTGAGGATAAGTATAACAGTTTTCTAAGGGAGACCAATTGGAAATGGTATTCTATTAAGCTCTCAATCTGATCAGACTATATATTGCAGACACTATATTGCATATATATCATAGGTCATTAGGAATTTTTAATGAAAAACCCCTTTTATTTTAGAAATCTGAATGATATTTGAGAAAACTTTAACTGTCTATTTAAGATACATTGTAAATGCAGAGCTCTTCAGGAACATTCATAGAAAATCAGTCATATTTATATGATGGGATTATTTAATTTTAGAAGGGCAGCGTTATTATTATCTTGAGACAACTCCTATCAAAACAAGTGCGCTATAGTCATTAATAAATGAGCAAAAACAGCTGTATGGCAACCCAAATGATATTTATATAACTACCCACACCATAATAAATACATTTATCATATATGTACATCACATACATACACATATATGTATGTATGACATATGGAATGAAACGATTCCTAGTTGGTTGCATTTGTTTTTATTGCACAACACTTTTATTCACTTGCATTTCGCTTGAATGATATCTAATACAATGTTAAATGTATGCGTTTTCGCATTATGGTCTATTTGAAGTATGCAAACTATTAACTAAAATATATATATTTGTATAAATATACATATACAAAACTGATGTATAAATATATGTATGCCAAATAATAATTATCAAAAAGAAAAAGCCAAGGAAATTATATAAATGTATATATAAACTATATAAGAACTGATCCGTTCATACCATAACATATTGGGAGTGCAAATATAAGAATATATATATAATATACAGATATATAGTAAGTATATCAAAAATCAAATGTATATATAGATCATAATTATGATTTTTTTCCGTATGCCATTTGCGAGACTTTTTTTGTTGATTTTTTCGTTTTCCTTTTTTTTACTACGGGCACTTTAGATGCTGCTCCATTGAGACACAGATAGTACCACGAAGAGAATACAAATATATAAAAAAAAGTCGAGTGGGCCACATCGTGGCCCCACCGCGTGCGCCATGCATCGAGTCAAGCCGAACTGGCCCAAAACTGAAAAGAATCATGTTCACACAGCTGCAGCAGCGCCTCCTCCTGCGGGAGAGGACGCGCCGCCCACTCAGCGCCTGGAGAGTGTGTGGGACTCCTGGCAGCAGTGTGCTCTGGAACTGAACTGGTGTGTGTGGGCGCGTGTGTGTGTGGGGCGCCATCAGAAGCGCTGCTCACGCACACACACACACGCACACGCACACATAGAGGCAAGACAGCGATTGATGCCCGCCGCTTGCTCAAATAATCATCAATGGTATTTGACCACGATCAGTGGAATCGTCGTCGTCATCTGTTGTCTCAATTGCGTTTCATCTAAAACACCAACAAACACTTAAGAGAATGTAAACTAAAATGTAATAGGTTCTAATTTGGATGTTGTGTGGGACTATGTTGCCGACGAATCGCTTTAGCTTATCTTCATACTGTTGCTGCTGCTGCTGCTGCCGTTGGAGTAGTAGCAGCAATGTTCGCTTATCTTGATTGGGGCAATAGTTGTTCACCACTGGTCACCAGAGGTTCCGTGGCATGGCGTAGCCTTCTTTTGTCACAAATATGTTGCGACTCATGCACGCCTTGCGATCTCCGCCAGCTCCAACAACAGCAGCCGACGATCCAGCACTGCCAGGGCCTTCCTCTTTAACGGTGGTCTCCTTGCGTCCGTCTACTATGCGAGTGACCGTGGTTGTCCGCTGACCGGTCGAGTCTTGGGTCACCTTAGTGGTCTCATAGGTGCCGTCGGGCTTGCGCACCGTCTTGGTCATGACGCTCTGGCTGAACATTTTCGGGCCCTGATAGGTGCCATCGAAGACGCCGCCGAACGGAGTCATGGGCGTCATAATGTTCGGCTTGGCGTTCGGCGGCGGACGCGACGGCAGCATCACACCTGGCTTCGTTTCGCCATCGGCATTGAGAGTGCCATGGATGCGGCCCATGATGAGCTCCTCGTCCGAGAGCTTGGGGCGAGGCGCGGCCCGGCGCAACCCACGCTGATTGGAGCGCAAAATGTTTTCGTGGCCCTCCTCCGGATTCAAGCGCTGTATCAGCGAGTACAACTGATCGGGATAGATTCTGGAAACACCAAGGAAAACATAAATATATAAATTAGCATATATATTATCCACCTACTCTCCATCCAGATCGGTGTCTAGCGAGTTGTGCTTCTTCTGAAACTCCTTAAGTATTTTGCTTTCGAAGCCCGGCTTCAAGAAATCCTCCCTCAAATTACGCTCCAGCCCAACCTCTATTAGGGAAAGGCAAGAGTTTCAAAGTTTGTGAATTATGGGATTCACTATAAACTCACCTTCATTGTCCTGCACTGACTCCAGCAGTCGCTGCAGCTGCCGCTCGAAGTGCTTCTGCATCTCCAATGGACTCGTGAAGACCTGAAAGGCAAACTTGCGATCGTCATCGAACAGTTCGTCATCCGTTTCAGCCTCCTCGAACCATTGCGGCTTGCGAAACTCATCCTTGTTGGAGGCGGATGCGGAAGCACTGCAAAAGCGTAGGCGGCTTAATCACAAAGGCAAAAGATGCACAGACGCATACACACAAACACACACATGTAAAGAGTTACGACACCCACACACACGCACACAGAGACATAAAATGCAACCCCAGCAAAGCCCGCAGGAAGTTCACTTCAATACGCAGCCTCCGCACACACACATACACGCAGTTATGCAAACCCACACACACACACACACACACATATACACTCGTGCACTTAAATACAGGCCGTGCACACATTTGCGCCTGTGTGGTATCCTGGTAAAAAGTGTATCTATCATAGCAGGTGCCTGGTTTATCGATCCATTTCAGTGAAAAAAGCCGCAATTGAAGCAAATAAACCGAATTAAAAATAACTTACTCTGACTCCTGCTGCTGCTCGAATTCCGATTGGAACATTTTCTTCAGTATGTCCATGGCGCGATATTGCCTTTACTTTTTTGTTTTTTTAATAATTTACCCAGAAAATGCTTAGGGCTTATCCTTTTTGTGGGAAGCCAGCAACGCAAACGATGTTAATTTGTTGTAGAGAAAGAAAAAACTAAAAGAACCAAAATGACGCAAATAACAATTGACTTAGCAAAATTGTTAGATATATATATGATTTTATAGTTGTTGTAGTGTTTCCTTCTAATATCGTTGAGTTGTGTGCACACAATTTTCTTCGAGTATCTCCTAAACACCACCACGACGGACAGAAATTGCTCGATTAGCGAACAGCTGAGCGGAGCAAGTAGCGGTGAGCGTTTCGTTTCAGCTGTCCAACACAGCAAACACACACACACATACACGAACAGTCGTTTATGTGTGTATGCGCGTGTTGCGTCACGAGATGGAAGCGAAACGCTCACTGCATCAATGTGTACATACTGGAATCAGAACATGGCGGGCTGATTTGAAATTCTCTCCCTGCTAGAAATTTTGGATTAGGTGTTGAGAAAACAACAACTAAATTCGATTTGGTTACAATAATTTATTCAACTTTTATCTAAATCTAACTAGCTTTTTTTTTAATACTTGGAGAATTTGATGCAAGAGGCATAGAAACACTGACAAATTGTTTTTATATAGAGATTTTCGGTCCCTAATGCTGCCAACTTGAAAGCCCCTCTACTTGGCCTCCTGCAAGGTGTTAGTTTTTGTATTAGTTTGCTTACACGGATTTGTTAGTGGGTATTTAATTTAGTGGTTCTGTTTAAACCGCATATACAAACTTCGAGATCTTCATTTGTATTGATTTGTACAAATTGTAAAATTGCTGTTGCTTCTCTTCCTTCCCCTTGATTGTTTGTTGAACTCTGAGCAGCCAGACTGTCTTTTCTCTTCTTTGTTTTTGTTTTCTGTTTTGGTACTAGTTGGGTGCCCCTCTAAAGGTTACATACACTAAGTCAAAATAATTTAAAACTCTAAGCCATATTCTCCTTGTCGCCCACGCTGCAACGCTTCCCCTTCTGAATCTTCATCATTTTGTTCTCGTCGGCGCATTTGGTGGTGATGGCATTGCGCACCTCCTTCTCGCTGGCATTCGATTTGCGGGTGACTGCAAAGATGATGTCCTGGATCTTGAGGGGATCGAGCATTTGCTTGAGCGGCTTCTGCTGGTCCTTGAACGCAGGCGACGGCTTCCCGGTCATCGAGTGAGTGGCCAGGGTTTCGCGATCGAAGATTGCCACCAGCAATTTGCGTGTGGCCAGCGAGGAGACGGACCAATTGATGTTCTCAAAGACGCTGGCCGGCACACAGGTGTTGTTCGGCCCAATAGAGACCATCACATTGTCCGCCTTCTGTTGCAGTGTCTTAAACTCCGGCTTCCACTCTTCCGCAGATGTATTCAAGTTTGCATTGCTTTTGCGTGCCGGCAGCTTATATTGCATATTGTGCAGGTGCTGCTGCTGTTGCTGCAGGGGCTGAGGGTGAGGCTGTGGTGCAGCCATGTTGTTGTGGCACTCCTTCAGCTCCAGCTTGCGGCGTTTGATCAACTGCAGCGGGGTTGAGGATTCGCGCTTGATCTGCTGCTGCTGCTGCTGATCCTCGTTGCCCAGGCAAATCTCCAGACGATCCGAGTCGGCGGAGGTGCTCAGGCTGTTCAAGCTCTCGGCGGCCAAACGTATCTCAATGGCATCCGCATCATTGCAATCGGCGCCAGCGGACGCTATGATCTTATAGTCAATCACCTCGCTGCGCTGCGACTGAGCCGAGCTGGGCGCACAGATCACCGAATTGGGCGGCGTTAAGATCTGAGGCTGATGTGCGGGCGGCGACGTAGCTGTGCCCGTGGCCTGTTGCATGCGCGCAGATGTCGCATGGATTTGGGACAACAGATCCGTGTGCTCCTGCAGCTTGCTCTCCAAATAGCGTACCTTTTCGCGCAGAGCGCGATTCTCGGCCTCCACATGGGGATCGACGTCGAGGGTGCGCAGCAGGCCAAAGTCCTCGCTCGTCGTCTGTGTCCAGGCAGTGAGCAGCATCGGCTGATCTGCGCGGCCGTGCCAATGCGCGTCGTCGCGCACATTTATGAAATTCGAGCCATTAGCAGACAATATCTAAAAAAACAAAATAATATATTACATGGAATATGATGCAATTGCATTGTCTTTATGCTAGCTTACTTGTGGATCCATTTTAGCGATCCTGTTTGCTGTCCTGCGTTGTGTGCGTCTTGCAGGCTGAGCGTCTACTGTGCGAAGCGCTATACAAAATCCAACGAAATTGGCGGCAGAATAGCAAGCAACGCGCGCAAATAAAACACCAAAATGCATGCACATCCATGGTCAGAGAGCAAGAGAATGAGAGAGAGAGACACACAGAGGGGTAGTTTAGACTATTTGGCACAATGCATTCCAACTACTTACACATGCTACCTGGGTCACCGATACAGCTGTACAGTACGAATAAATGTGTTAGTATGCGTGTGTGTGCCCGTGCTGCTTGGTTTCTAGTAGTTCAGGTATTCGAATTTGTTCTCTGCGTGCGTGCTCTCTCGAATGGGACTTTCTACTGTTCTATATCCCAACTGGCGTGCGAGTAAGTTTTATTTTCGATCCTTTTTCTCTTCTTCTACTTTTTATGCCTGCCTGCACCACGCTGCACGCATGTCGTTCGCGCGGGAACCAAGTCTCGTATTTTGAAGGCAGAGTTGCCAACTTCTGCGTCGGCGCAAATGTCCGTGTTTCCACTGGAAGTTAACAGTGGTGTAATGAAGATTAGAACAACACAAAATGTATTATAACTACATTGTTGCAATTAGTCGCTTGGCCAAACCGGTTTTTTCGATCGAGCTCAATGGGACCAGTTGTCAGCTATAAAAATAAGTCTCCCTCTAGGAATACATCAACGGCTCTCTGATCGGAATAAAAGGGAAAAACATCCCTAATGGCTGCAGATGCTACAGCCATTAGAGCATGAAGTATGATGGAATTTCTTAAGTAGAATCTTCCTGCCAGGTAGAATGAGTCCATTGTTGTGCTCTTTTTGTGTAACGGCTGTAAACTGAATTCGCAAAAGTCTGTATGTTTTTCCAAGGAAATCCTTGAAGACGCTGCATTTTTTGTATAGCTGATTTTCGAGGTTGCATTTCACGCTTGGGTTGAAATGCGAAGAATGCCTAACAAAAAGTGAATTTTTTGGTTGGGGTAAATGCAATTGGGTTTACTCAATGATTTTTTTTTAATGGAATTTTTGAATATAAGATTTCCATTTTATTATTATTATATAAATAGATTTGATAAATATATACCTATGTATATATAGAAAGTATAGCAAAATCTGAGAGCTGATTTTAAATCTCTCTAATTTCCAAGAAAATTCTTTACTTGCAACACTTTTCGCAAAAGGATGCAGTTGCCAGGCTGAATTTTCCACTCCTAATAAAATGCAATTATGTGCTTTGGTAACTCTATTGGCCATCTGTCAAACTGAAAATAACTGTTAATCCTGGATTATAAAATCTTGCCGATTGTAAAGTTTTCAAGGCCAGAATTCGTGCTCTTGGCTAATACAAATTTTTTTTTGCGAAGAAAAACCTTCGCAGCTGCGCACACCTTTCCGCCTTACCTGTTGTTACCTGCCGCACAGGAGATCAAAGATGCACAATTTTCATAATATAAATTTTGAATATAAAAATGGCAACGTCGAACCGTATCGCACGCCAGTTCAAGACAGTCCAGAGTCGTGGACAGACCAAGATCGAGCAGCAGCTTACGCGAATTTGAATACACCTATAAATCACCTGAATATTCAGCCAAATAATTTACCAATTGCGCCATTTGCACCTGCGCCCTATTCCTTTGCATATCAACAGTTTTTGAGTCAATTCGCACCGAATCTGGTGCCCTACTATTACACATTGCTGTCTCCAGCGCCCGTTAATTTCAATTACCAGCAGAGTGTGGCTCCCGCGATGGACATCGAGAAGTATATCAACTATGAGCTCAGCAAGCAGCAGAGTTTGATGCGCAAACAGACTGTGAGACCGCATCCACTCGGCGTGCTTCGATTGCCCACTATTCAACCATTGATAGTTCCCAAGAAGGAGCCGCAGGAGCGACGCGTCATCAACGTTCAGATGGTGTCCATGTCAGCTCCACGCTCACGAGAAACCAAAAACGACGTTGAGCCACTGCCGCCCGTCGAACCGTCGTTCAAGGAGGACGTGGCGAAGATCAGCAAAAGTCAACATCATTATACGCAGCTCTTTGATCGCCTGACTAGCGTGCTGCAGACGTTGAATCGACGCTACGATGGCAACGAGCCGGAGCCCAGGCCGGAGGTCGAGCACGATGAAGCTCCGCCGCCGCCCATGAAACGGGCGCGCCACATGTCGAGCAGCTCGAGCGAATCTCATCAAGACTCAGAGAACGTAACGGCTCTTTCGCATTATCCTCAACGCGTGGTGCTGCCCAACGGCAGCACGGAGTATGTGCTGGGCCCCAATGGCACGCGCATCGATGCCAAGGCCTATGGCCAGGTATTCTGGACAAGTGCGCCAGTCGCGACACGATGCCTGCTGGGTGCCGTCTTCAGCAACGATGAACTGGCCACGCATACGCTGACTGGCAAGCCTTCGCCCGCATTCTACGGACGTGAGCGTCCAGCAAAGAAGATGCTGGATCAGAATCGAGTTGACGACATCGTTGTCAGTGTGCGCAATCGCACCGGCTGCAAGGAGCGGCACATCAGAGCCACCATTACCACAAAATGCGCCGATACGGCTAAAAAATACAAGCGACGCGCCAAGAAGGCGCTCAAGGACAACGTCATAGACGAATGAACGAAAGAGAACATCGATATATACATATATATGATATGGATATGATCCAGCCATAGCTTTAAGAATCTTAATAATCATAAAGACTTTCTAAAAGCAAATTTTATTGGAGCCATGCCTGCCACAGCCATCCTCCTATTATCGTTTAACAATAACCTAGTGAATCGTGAGTTTACTTCTTGTTGGGATTCCAAGCCTCAACCTTGGGAGGCGTTGTGCTGTATGGCATATATGCCTCTGTAAGAATACATTAAATGTTAGTTTTCGCAACGGAGATTCAATCAATTTTCAGAGTTACCCTTAGTGCCAGACAGATTCTCGCTGTGATCCGCAATCCACTTGTGTTTGGGTCGGCAGCCATCGCGAATAGGTGGCAAATCGGTCTACAGACAAATAATACAAAATTTATATTTTATAATTATGTATTCCAAAAAACAGCGAGCCTACCTTGTAGTGCATCCAGCCGTACCACTCGGCGGGTATTTGAGAGCCGTCATAGTCCATGTTCACATGAGGCGAGTACTCCACCCAGCGGTTCCTGCCATAGAAATAGTAGGGATTCTCAAAGTACCTGTTTCCGTACTTATCAATGCCAATTAGCTTGCCCGTCTTTAGGTCATCATTTCTGTTTGTATACAAATTGGAATTTAAGAATTTAGCAACTTATATAAGAGAGTGATGGGCATATTCTTACCTGTATAGCTTTAAATAGGCCTGCTTAAGTCCGCCGGCTTCGCGTATCGCTTGGAAGAGTCTGCCTAGGCGGTTAATACCTAGAAATTTTGCCATTTTGTTCGCTGTTTGAAATAAATATTAATAATTTGCCAGATTTGTGATAGAAAAACTTACGTGCGAAGCAATGTCAAGTTGCCACTACGTTAAAATTCTATGTTATTGTTGTGCTCCCAGGGCTGCACACATTTATACCCGGTGTTGCCAAACAGCACACAATATTTTGTATTTTCGGATTTTGCAGCCCTGCATCCACATCTGTTCGGCGATTTGGTGTTTCGTGATTCATTGCACTGGATAAAACAAGAAGTAAAAAAAATTACAGTTCTGTGTGAATAAGATGGCTAAAAATACATCAAGCAATGCGTTTCGGAAAATTGATGTAGATCAGTACAATGAGGATAATTTTCGAGAGGACGACGGCGTCGACAGCGCCGCAGTTGGCCCAGATGAGAACGAAATCACATCGCTGCTAACAAAAGGCAAAGGTGTCGAGGCGCTGCTCAGTGCGCTCCAGAACGCCCCCCTACGTTGTAAGAACCAAAACGTCAAGGTAGAGAGCAATGCGTCAACATGAAACAGAGCAAGCTCTTATCCCATAATATTCATTGCAGGACAACGCCCTGAACATAACGTTGCGCGTGCTGTTATCAATCAAGTCAACGCAAATCGATCAAGCCATCGACTCGGTGGAACAGAACGATCTGATCGACGTGCTCATGAAGTATATATATCGAGGATTTGAAACACCCTCCGAGGGCTCCAGCGGGCACCTGCTGCAGTGGCACGAGAAGGCGTTCGCCAAGGGCGGCGTTGGCTGCATCGTACGCGTGCTCTCGGACACGAACCGTGCTTAATGAGGAAACATTGTTACAGGGACAAGCAACCGCAAAACCAACAAATATATAAATTAGTCATAACTGTTGTAGTTTCTTCTGCCAAGGAAATTCCACTTGAGAAGCCGTTGTAAACACCCGAGCCGGAGCCCGAGCGCTAGTTTCATTTTGCCGCAGTTACAAAGACAAAAGTTTTCCAAATTAGATTTTAACTCGTATTCAAGTATTAAAGTTTTTATTACAAAACTGCCTAGTGTATTCCTCTAGCTTGTAAGCCAGGGGAATCAAGGATAAAACATAAATAAAATATGATTAAAACTTGAACACAAATATTTGGTGGCACAATCCAATCAAACATAACTGCGATTATTCATCACTCGCTCAATGCTTTAAAAAGTACAGATTTAGTTAATTATTTAATCTGATTTTATTTGACTATTCAAAAAAGTAATAGGTGCTTTCATTAACTTAAAACAAATCGATCACGACGACAGACGACAGAATTCATCATCATCTCACATGCAAAATGGTCAAATGGATCTCAATAAAGCTGATGAAGGAAAAATGCTAGCAAATGCTTTGGATATTCTATGCTGACTACGATTCTTCAAATGCAGCGATACGAAAACAAGGAGAAATGTTTGAAAAGTGTATACACTTAAATCTATTATATAATATGATCTGGTTTCTTAGCCCGCATTCAGAATTTGATGCTATGAGTGAAATGTGCTAATGTTCTGGGGAAACATTCAACAAAGCGGAGAACTTCTGTTTTTGATAGTAGCTATAGCTGATTATGCAGTTGCTTTTTCAATAAATAGTGCGTTATAATTTCTTGGGATTATCCCTCCCAGCCGCGTTGGGCTCCACTGTCATCTTTATCTATCTCTGGTCGAGGCACTCTCTACCACATGTGAGTCTCTCGTATTTCGCTAATAATGTGATTCGCACGAGTGAGCGCCTGTAAAATAAATTGAATATAAACAAATTATTAAAAACAATCTCAATTTGACAGTAGTTCTAGAATCACCTTCAACATATCCGCCGCCTCTTTCCGGCGCACTGCAATGTGATCGGACTCGTTGAGCAGCGTTTCAGCCTTATCCGACTTATACAAGTGTGTCACTAGCTCACTCTGAAGGTTGTCCTTAACGTAGTTAACCAAAAAGTGCATAATCGCCTTTGGTACAGAGTCTTGTATGGATTTGCGCACAATATAGAAGTAAGATTTAATCAGCCGCTCTGTAGGGTGGGTAAAATATCAGTTAATGAGTTGGAAACATTATTCGGAGATCGAACTAACCAATGACATCGCAATCCCTTTGCTCCTTGTCAGTGAGTCGACGTGGGTTAGCCACCTGCGGCACATCGGGCAGCAGATTAACCGGCTTCAGTGGAGTTATATTATTATGCACTGGCGTATTGCTGGCCGAGTTCTCAATGCTATCGGGACGATTGGGCGCGGGTGGTAAGATATTTGAAAGCCAAGAGCCCGCTGAGCTATCGCCATTGTGATTCTGTAAAATAGGAGCAGTTAATATTAGTATATGACATTTTCAATATTTGTTGGAGTGTTAGCCAGTCGATGTCTAGGGGCTGCAGCTGTGGCGTGCTTGAGTTAACATGATAGATATTTGGAATTAAAGAGCTTGAAATGATTGCATTACTCAAATATGAATAAATTTTTTGTATAACTGTAACACAAGGGAAAGCATTCACACCGACGCTTACATACCCTTGACAAAAGCAGCCCATAAAACGTTGTAGAAATCTATGAATATAAAAATTTTAAAATCTTCAATTACCTAACTGATGTGATAACAATGAAGCCAAATTGGTAGATTTATAAATATTATGAATAAATTTGTTGATATATACAAATATGCGATATGATAATCTTATCTTAGGTAGTTTTATTTTATAAGGGTGTGAGTTACTATTGGATTTTGGTAAAGAAATCATAATAATTAAAAATTACTTGATTGTCTTTAAAACAAATATTTTTAAATAGTCCAATTTATAATATATGTATGATGCTTTCATAATATATTAAAAGGTCACAAAAAATACCTAATAAACAAATTGATTTTACATTAGATATTGCTTTGCTTGATACAATAAATATGCATTAAAAAAGCAATAACTATGTTAAATAAACACAAAAAAAACATATAAAAAATACTTTCCGAGTCTGATACAAAGATTATTTCATATTTAAAGGAGTCTTGCCATTGGCTTTCTCTTGAGTATACGAGAAATCTAAAGCTTTAGCTTATTACTCCCATATATACAATCTCTTCAGTTAATCATCCTATATGGCATACATTAATTTAATCATTACCTGCTGCTCATGTGCATCATTTTGCTGTTGCTGCTGCTGTTGTTGCGGCTGCTGTTGCTGCTGCTGTTGTTGCTGCTGCTGCTGCTGTTGTGTCTGCAACAGTTGTTGTGACGGTTGTTGGCTCTGCGACATCGAATTGTGGGAGACCTGCGGCGACATTGTATTACGTGGCGTGTTCGTTCGGCGCGATTGTACGAAGGGATCACTGTCGGTTTTAAGTAGGCTGGGCACCAGTGCGGCTTCCTTGTGGAAGTCGGGGTGCTTGGTATTGATGTACGCCAGCTCGATGGCCACAATGTTCTCGACCATGACGTTGGTGGCGGGCAGACGGCAACGCAACAGCTGCGTCACCACATCGACAATCTTTTCGTGCAGCTTGGGGAAACTGCAAGGCAGAAGAGGATGAGATAAACGTGCACCTGGTTAATTGATTTGGCCTACCGCAGCATCTCCTGTTGCACCTCGTTGCCGCAGTGCTGCACAATGCGCTGCATCTCCTCGTGTATAAGCTCCACGCAGCGCAGCGAAGGCTCCTCTAGGCGTCGGATTTGCCGCTTCACCAGCAGCTCGAATGAGACCTCGGGCACAAACAGCGCCGGCCTCGGACCCGTTGCATTGCGTATGGCTGTCAGAATATCCATTTTGGTCAAGCCCGCCAGCGGGTGTATCGAGTCCAGTGTGCGCCCAAAGATCTCATGAAAGATGTAACAAAGGCGCGCGCCTCCGCACAGCTCTGTCGTCTCAATATTCCGCGCCGTGCCCTCAATCGTGGAGCAGTAGGCGCTGGAGAACTTCGTTATGATGTGCAACAGCGTCTGGCTCTTGTCCGACACATCCTCGCCGTAGGAATTCAGCAGCGATTGGAATTGTGTGGACATTATGTTCACACGTGTCTACATTATAGATATAAACAATATATAAACTAGAATATGGAATAATATTAATTGAGTTTCACCTTAAGATCGGGCAGGCAGTCGCGTATGTGATGCATCAACAGCCGATTCAGCGTCTTCGCCAAGTAGGGTGTGCCGTTGCGTGTGGCCAATGTGGGATATTTGCGCTGCAGGAAAGCCGCCTCGTCCTTCATTTGTTCATCAATGTCCTTCTTATCGATGATGTCCTGTTGCGATCGATTCATCACACCAATGATGCCCAGCTTGACGGGTATGACACGTCCGC